TGGGGGTCGCGCCCCACAACTACATATATGTTGAGCTCATTCCCCACAACAGGCATCGAAATGAATTTTTAAGCAGCCATGTTTTATTGGTCCCTGGTTCAAGTGTTCGTTTTCGTATTATAATATATACATCTATATATACCGTGTGATTCAGAAAGACCATTGACAATGAAATAATTATAAAATGGGGAGGTATAAAAAAATAACTGTTAGTGGTATGGAACGAGGAGTTGTGGCCTACCCTATGAAAATATCACTGAGGTCATTCAAGGTCGTGTCCGTTGAAATTTCTGTAGTACGCATCATACACCAAAAGTGACAATTGCAAAGGTAACGAAGGAAACATGTAAACCATAAATCACCAACCTCGCTCCACAACAGTAATAGTTCTAGGCATAAATGGAGATGGGGTAAACATCCAAACAGTTACATGTTGTTATATATTCTTCTTTACTTTCACCCGTAAGTTATTAAAAGTATTATACAAAGGCAAACAAACAATAGCTGTGTTCAAAGTGCCGCCCGCATAACGTCTATACGTAAATGAATCTGTAGTACGCAGCCGCTGACCTATATTTCCTATATACTGATGTGAAGGATGACGTTCTACTTAGACGCATAACGTCTATACGTAAATGAGCCTGTAGTACGCAGCCGCTGACCTATATTTCCTATAAACTGATGTGAAGGATGACGTTCTACTTAGAACTGTTCAGCATATAAGTTATCAGTAGCCTGAGCATTCCGATGACACTCTTCATATAGTAAGTGTATCATTATTTAGTTAATTTAGGAGTAATCGCAGTACAATGCTTATTTATTTATGTAGGGAGTTTTTACTTTAATAACTTTAACCTTTTTGACCTTTCACAGGTGTACACCCACTTACATAAAATTCTGACCTTGCACCTTAAGCACAAGCTTGTGTAATAACCTTTGCATGATTGAATTTCGATCTTCTGTAGCAAAACTCCACATGATAAACACGAAAGTCAAGAAATGAAATATAATGTTAATTATGAAAAGTAAAAGTCCAGCATCACGGACGATAGCTTTAGAAATCGTTAAAATGTATTGAAGTAATTTATCATACTACTCGCATGACCAGGTGGTTACGGCACTCGACTCGCAATCTGAGGGTCACGGGTTCGAATCTCCGTCACACAAAACGTGCTCGCCCTTTCAGCCGTGGGGGCGTTATATTGTGACGGTCAATCCCACTATTCGTTGGAAAAGAGTAGCCCAAGAGTTGGCGGTGGGTGGTGATGACTAGTTGCCTTCCCTCTAGTCTTACACTGCTAAATTAGGGACGGCTAGCGCAGATAGCCCTCGTGTAGCTTTGCGCGATATTCAAAAACATACGACTCAGCTTGATTATTATATTTTTTATAACAAATAACACACGTTAAGGCGTTTTTTTACGTCAAATATTTGAAATTAAAAAAACTGAGGATATTTTGTTCCGTGGTAGTTTTTATAAACATTCAGTTGAAAAAACAAAATGTCAACATTTAAAATTGTTTATATTTTAACAAGCCTACGTGTATATGTTCTCAAATTTATATATCAGTTGTAAATCCATTGTAAAGGGCTACAATATTTAACTTCCACAGCTAACAATGCAAAACAGTCTCTATAATAAAAGTACAATAATAAATAATTTAAGACTGTAAATGTAGATGTATTGAATATTCTAATTTTTAATGGAATTTTAAGTCATTTTCAAACACCAATAAAGTAATCTAAAATAATTTAGATATTTCAATAATGTTAGAGCTCGTGTCGAAATCATTATTCCACATTATATATCGGACCAAGTATTTAATGATTACATATATATGTTACAGATTTTTCTCACAACTTCACCAAAGGTAAAATTGAAAGTAGAATCCGTGACATAGTGGCTTTTATATAGGTTATATTCGAATAATATTCCCTAATTAAGTATTCTCTCGTATTTCTTAATTGTTACTTTCATTAACAGTATTGGCTAGAATATTTAATACATCTAACCAATACTGTTACGGAAAATAGTGAAAATTAGAATATTTTATTACAAGTTATAGCTTTTACAGTAAGAAAGATTTGTATTTAGAACGGGAGCGACGTTTCGATCACTGTGCGATCATTCTCCAGTACACAAATTGTAAAATTGAAAGGAGAATCAGTGACGTAGAGGCCTAATGTTTCTTTGATTGGTCACACCCACTGCCGTGGACTGCAGTTTCGCCTATTGAAGGCTCATCAGCATGGACAATTAAAGAAAACATTAGGCCTTCTTATTATACCAACACTCACTACACTTATAAGGTTTCACGGCACACACTATTCACGGCCCCTTGCATCCCTGGCACTAAAATCATAATGGGCAGACATTAATTGAACTATTCTATCTGGTTAAATGCATTTTGGCTTTTATGACTCCTATTTCAAGAAATCAAGCGTGACGTGACGTGACACACACGCCTAAAGTAAAGACGTAGTGTGGGATCACCTAGCGTAGAGCCAAGTGCATAAAATTTATCATGAAAGTAAAAATATCGACTCAATTTTAAACTTAAACCGTATAAGAATTAAGATATCTTATGTTATATCACCAACGTTTTTAATTTAAAAACAAAACTCTTTAATAAATGGAGACTCTAAATTAAGAAATCAACAAACATTTTTCCAGTTTTGTTGTCACTTTCATTTTATACTTTCAGTACCTAGACTAACAACAACATTAGGTTATATTTTTATTGCTAAGCAACATGAAATAAAAGCCATTGTTGGAACTTAGTGTTACCAAAACGCACTGGCTTTTCTACATATTACAAGTTGTTAATCTAACTGGTTTTTACCTGTAACTATTCTATGAATACGCCACGAATTCATTTCATTTCATGGACGATCTTAATTTTGATTGGCCCACAAAGATACTTACTGACGTTTGAGTGCTTCGACTGCATTTTTCTGCCGCCCCAAAGTGGTACAGCGGCATGCCTGCGCATTTACAACGCTAGAAACCGGGTTTCGATACCCATGAAGGACACAGCACAGATAGCTAATTGTGTAGCTTTGTGTTTAACTTCAAACAAACAAACAAACAAACTTTTCTGTCTCTTTGTTGGTGAAGCTTGATTTCGCACAATTTATTTATTTTAGTTAGCTATGAAATGTGAGGTTATGGTATATTATGGGGTGGGGGTGCAGGGTGATAGTACATGCCCCGTCATTTTCGACGGGCTACACGCTAGTCTAAAATAAATAGCATTTAGCCTTCTGTATCTGAAGGTATAATATATCATTCGGTGTCGGTAATGTTGTTATTGAGCTTATTTTCCCACCTCGTTGTCGTCCTAGAAACATGACTCATGTTCTCAGCTGTGACAATCAAGGTTATCTGCTAACAAGTAAAACAAGCTGTAATATAAACATTAAGGTTTTATGTATCCTGACCAAGCTGTTCGGGAGCAAATCTTAATCACACATAATAGAACATATAAATGATTCATATATATACTTGCTACGACACTGTTTTCTTTCTGTCTCTCTCTTTCTTTTGTTGACCACTGATCTAATGAAAATAACTCAAGGCGTAAACGGCCCTCCAATTTATTATGTCAAATAGAAATTATTTATTTTAATTTATTAAATAGCCACTCCATACACCTTCTCAGAATTTTAATCCAAGTTTTTTTTGTTTGTTTTTTTTAGAAATATGAATACATAAACAGGTATATTTCAGATGTTGGAATTTTCAAAAGTAAATTCAATAATTTTTATTTATTGGGTAATAACTTAAGATGTCTAGTGGTGTGAAGTGAAACAACGAGAAATTGTCTATTTCAAAAAGGGTTGGCCCAGAGTTGACATATATATATATACAGGAAATTAAACACGTTGTTACTAGCTTGAAATTATCTATAACTTTAACTACCTTTAACATGGCAACACATGCTAAATAAATCACTACAGAAAAAAGCGATGAATGCATGTAATTGTTTAAAAATAACCATTAACCCAATTATTTATAATGTACTGTTGACTGCATTGCTAATCAGTTCAAACCACACCTTTGTAAACTTATCCAGCTAAATATTTGTCCAAAGTGTTAACTGGTGGGTATTTTCAACACACTATATACATATATATCTACTGTATTTTTCATTTTGTGAGGTTTTTTTAATAGATATACGTCACAGTATCAACGCAGTCCAATTTGAAAGAAAAACAGTATACAACTTACATCAAGTACGCCGACTTAGCTTAGGTACACATAAAAAACAGTTTTCTTAAAATCAATACTTGCGAAATGTTTCGTTTCTTAACCACGTTAACTTCAAAATATTGTTTGGTTCATTATTAATCTGAACGGCGTGATTTAAATGATTCATTTTAATAAAAATAAGACAATTTTTAATCGAAATGGATAGTAGCGTTATTTATGCAACTTCATCAAGTCAACGTGTGTATTTGTTAAGTAAATATATAAATGTAAATTCAACTTTTGTTTGCACTTCATTTAATATAGTTTGTTTAGACCTAACTGTGAGCTAATACGTATGTTAAATGTCGTTTTTTTTAAGTTATTATTTATTCTGTGTTAATTTCATTATAAATATAAGAGAAAATCAAGCCTGATTTTGTTATACTTATTGCATCAGTTAAAATTAGAAAAACAGATCACAAATAACTATAATTTATCAAACATACGCCTGATTGATAAACTAAGCCTAACCTTAGTGTCTTTATGGAAACATATCTATATTTTTAAATAAATCGGATGATTAAACTTCAATAGACTAATATTATAATAAGATGGCCTCATGTTATACATCACGGAAAAGCTGCACTAATGTACAATTTTTTAGTTATTTACCACGGTCATAAATACACGTATGGATTTGCACTGCACACGCACCACACTATCTTAGCGCCCTGGCGCGTAGATTAAGCCGAGCTTTTGACACAACACAGTATCATTCCTCACAACTAATAACACCTAAGCCTCTTACCTTGTCATCAGTGATAGGCTGAATTGACGTATCAGTTGCAGTACCATTTAGTACGTTTTCATTTTCATTAACGGTACCTTTTGCTGTAGAATTTGTTTCATCATTTGGTTTGTCTTTGAATTCGTTTTGTTCGATTCCGCCATTAACCAAGCGAGTTGCCATGACGAAGAGCGTGACGGCTGACGGTGGCTTCTGACAAGATTGCTCCCAGGCCGATGTTTTATGCTATGTACGACATTGTACGCATAACTAGTTAGAATATGCTCTGGGTTCTCCTTAAACTCTTTCAAAGACGTATCACTTATTTTGTATATTTTGGTATGAAATACTAAGAAGTAGTTTTAGAGAACAAGCATGTAAAAGTAGTGTTGCATTTTGAAGAAAACTAGAAAGAGGTACACGTATATTTCGGCTTGTTTCAAAGTAAAAATAGTCTGCTATTTAAAACTGACCGTTTCAATCTCAAATCTAGGCAAAGTAAATCTGACAAAAATAGCTGTACAAGTTGTACTGAATAAGAAAGAATCTGTGATTTTTAAAGAACAATCAGTATTTTATTTCGATAAATAAAATACTGAGTGAAAGATTGTATAGTCCATTGATGTATTAATACTCGCGTAAAGAAAAAACGACGTACACACCAGCTGGTATTCCAATAAGTATTTTTCAGTTACATATGAAAGTACATTTTTTTTATATTTAACTAAAACTAGGATTCAGAAAAACTAGCCATATTCTTTCGATATAACCTCTCTGAAATTAAAAACCATATTTGGATGTTTGTTTTAGAAATTCATGCGATTGTGGTACTTAACCATATTACAATATTTAAGTCATTAGGTCACAAATTGAAAGAATACTGCTAAAGAAATGTTGAAAAGTTCCTACTAGTAAAGACTACGCACATGAAAATTCAAACTGGTTTTGAAAAATAAAATCTGAATTTAATAAATGCAATTAAATGCTTTAAATATAAGTTACCCGAATAAAAAATGTAACGAGTTTTATATTTTTGTTTTTTGCGTGTAAAGCTCAATAACTTTAATTTCTCCATGCAAGATATATTAACGTTGAGGAAATAGTTTCAAAAGGATAAAATTAGAAATAAAGCTTGATTTCACTTGTGCTGACCCTTTCGTCCGTGTCTTTATCTTCAATGATAAAAAAGTTTCGATTTTTACCCCTTTATATATTAAATTATACGCATGTCACAATTATAGCAAATCCTGCCTATAGGCGGCGAAAATAGCAGAAAATCACGAATAAAGATTTTTGTCATGTAACTGGTTTATCAATAAATTGAACAGATTCTGAAATATTAACCATATTGTAACAGATAATTGGGACATGTTACACAGAATGGTACATGTCATAAAACTTTTTTACATGTCGTTTCATTCGAAATTATTATTTTAACATAATTTTTATTTAATTTTATATAAATACAAATGGCGTGGCTTGCCTTTATTATGTTCGGAGGTTCCTTTTCCGAATGCCAAAAATCTGCATTTATAATTAAGTGCTGAAAAAATTATAAATTTTTCACATTTATTTCCAATTGTTGTCGTTTTCGCTTCGGGATACATAAATACTCTGGTGATGAAATTAAGTGGTGAAATTCGATACTTCTTAATCAAGCAAATAAAGAAAGGGATTTGTAACCGTCTGCGTTTTTTGCGTACAGGGAACAAAATTTCTAGTTATTTTGTTTGTTCACAATATGCAGTTCACAAATAACAGAAATTGTATATATATATATATAAACGATGCGGAAATATATGCTGCCTTCTAGGCCCAAAGTAGTTTGTTTGTTTGTTTATTTATAATTAAGCACAAAGTTACACAATGGGCTATCTGTGCTCTACCCACCACGGGTGTCGAAACCCGGATTCTAGTGTTGTAAGTCCGCAGACATACCGGTGGACCACTGGGGGGCAAAAAAGAAGTTTAGAAAATACTTAATTGGATTAACTTTATTTTTATTTTACTTCTCTTGCCAGCTACCATTTATGTGATCAAACCTGAGAATTTGGAAAAACACTGTAAAGTGTGAAGTATTTAAATAAGACAATGTTAGTAATATAGATAATAAATTACAGACAAAACTATCAAACTTTGTAACAATCCGTTGGCAATACTTTTATATCTAGATACGATCGTATCGCGGAATCAATATCTAGATATGTATCGACTACTATGATGAGATGCGTACCCATAGATTTATGATGTGTTGAAGGTTGTTAGCTGAATGAAATTTAAAACTGGAACTGCTTGTTTGTTTGTAGTTAAGCACAAAGCTACATAAAGGGCTATCTATGGTCTGCCCACCAAGGGTATCGAAACCCGGTTTCTAGCGTTGCAAATCCACAGACATGCCGCTGTGCCACTGAGGCGGGGCTAAAACTGGAACAGTCTTTACTCAGTGAATATAACACATAACGTAAATAAAATAATCATTCCAAAAATATTATATAATTTGTTCTGAAAATTATCAATACTGTTACCCTCATGTTTAATAGTGTTCTATATAGTCGCTAGAATTACCATTTCAGCATTTCCATCGAATAAAAATTATATATATATAAATTTACTCAAAAAACTAATTTAGTGAATTTGATCAAATACTTATACCACAAAATGTTATCACTGCTCTACTTGTATAACGGTTGAGTACAGATTCATAAAACCATATGTAACTATACTGACAAATTTAACCAGGGGAGTAGACTTCAGTTTCATGTTTTAATAACTTTAGCTGCTTCAGTTGTGAGGAAGGTTACTCAATGAAGCTTTATATACATTAAAAGCTATGGATCGACAATGATTGTTGTGATAAATTTAACGTTCGTTGTTAAAATAGTGTACATTAAATTAATATATGAATTAAGCACTCCAGATTTCAATTATTATTTTGAAGATCCATTAATTTGATTTTCTGAAGAACTGGCCCAAATACTCTGGGGTTTTTTTAAACTTTTTTTACGGGCACTACCATTTTCATTAGATTTGTTAACATGTGGTCAGATGCATGTTTTCAAATCACTTACATTTTCCACAGTAAATAGAAGACTTTTACCTTAAAACTGATGTGTTTATGTGCTGTTGATCAAAGAACATAAAAGTAACCTTCAAGGCTTTTCCACACCTCAATCACGAATTTCAAGTTTCACAAAGGGATCAAAAAATGTAAAACATTATATAATTATTTGTTATTTTATTTGGCCAAGTGTGGCTCAATGATTAATGTGCCAGTCCAGTTTCCAAGTGCTGTTACCAAAAATAAAAGTTAAAAAATCATGCCACACTTTGGAGCAATGGTGTATTATAAGGGTGATGGTTAAACCCACTAATCAGTCAGACAAAAGTAGGTGATGGGTGCTGCTGACTAGTTGTCTTCCTTCAGTCAGACAAAAGTGGGTGATGGGTGCTGCTGATTAGTTGTCTTCCTTCTAGTTTATCGGTTCATCTATCATAAATTATGGATGGCTCATGCATATAACCCTTGGGTAGCTTTGCATAAATATCCAAAAACACACAATTATTTTATTTAAAAATTAATATAAATGATCCAAATTCTCTTATTCAGCTAAATTGATACTTTTTAGTGAATAAAACAAAATTGATCCTACTCATAAAAAAAACATTAAACGTAAGGACTAAATGTCAAGGCAGATCTCAAATACAGC